ATGGGGGCAGTCTCGCTGGTATGATTTAAATCTCACCCAAGAAGCTTTGAACGCCTCAGTTGTTTCTTGAGAGAATGTCGAGATTTTTTTCCTCAATTCCTCAGACCTAGCATCATCGAAGAAGTTGTGCAGGAAGGCGTTCCTGGTCTCCTCCCAAGTAGTCAGTGATCCTGGCTCCAACTGCTTCAACCAGTTAGCTGCTTCTCCAGCAAGGGAGTAAGGAAATAGCTTGCAGAGGAGGAAATCATTAGACACTCCATTGTATTTGATGCTGGTGACCAAGTCCTCAAACCTCTCGATGTGATCCATAGGGTGCTCATGAGAGTGACAATGAAAGGGATGCTGACCCACAAGAGTGTAGTACACAGGCTTCAACTCAACATCGTTCCTAAACGCAGGAGCGCGAATCGCAGATCGATTTGCATAGAACTGCCCAGGCCTGTTGTAATCTCCAAGCGTTCTTCCACGACCATCTGTAGGTGCAGGTTCCCTCACGTTCTGTTCTTCTGGAGCATTCCTCTGATTTGGAATGATCACAGCATTACTACGCGGTGCGGGTGGTGGATTCTGGTTAACAACATTCACCGGTAAAGGTGCTGGTGGAATGATGTTACCATCTCCATCAAGTCTTTGGCCTCTCTCATTGCACACATGACCATCTTGGTCTCTCCAGAAACCAGCATCATCACGCACAAGTCCGTTTGCGTTCTCCATCTCTGCCGGTTGCTTTGCCTTTCTGTTCGTTCGCTCTAACTCTGCTAGCTCTTCGTTGCTCAAGTTCACTAGCGGGATGTCTTTGTTGCTTCTGGTTCCACGAGTATGCATAAACCTGAAGCACAAAAGACAAAGAGAGAAAACAAAATAAGTAAATTAGGTTATAAAAACGAAAGGTGTCGCGCAACACCACAAGTGGTGTCGCTCGACACTAAGAAAAACTTAGTCGAAACTCAAAAACTAGGTTTAATGACGAAGTCAAGTCCCCGGCAACGGCGCCAAAACTTGATCTGCTCAAAGTTTAATCCCTAAGCTACTCTGCAAGAGCACATATGTGCAGTTGTGGTATGTAGGGGTCGAACCACAGAGACAAGAGATCACTCAATAGACCTTATAGAGATCGAATTACGCTAAGCAGAAATATTAGAAATAAATAACGATGCAGCAGAAATAAACTAAACAGCAGTGAAAACGTTTGTAAAATTCAAATGGATGGTGATTAGGCTTAGGGCGTTTCTCAGGAAATCAATGCATGCAGATCAATCGATTAGTCAGGGTTCAGGTTTAAGCACGGTTCTTGAACTCGAAACACAAAATTATAATTAACCAACTTCCGTTGTGAGAATTATCTAAGTTGAAATCCTAGAATTCCAAATTCCTTTGCAAATCCTACAGATTTAAACCAGCTTTAATGCACAAGTTCGATATGTTCACAAAGCATCTAAACCAAATTCCTTTGCGAATAGCTACTTTGCTCACCCTAGGTTCTTTCCAGTTATTCAATTACACTTCCATGTCAATTAAGCAACCTAAGATCTAAGTTTTAGGTGATCAGTCTAGAATTAGCTTTAAGAACAACCTATGGTGAAGAACTAATCAGATTATGAATCCTAACTAAATCAATTAATCAAACATCTAGAGAAAACCTTTATGAGAACCCTAAACCTAACAAGCTAACTACTCAGACATGGATATTGAAACAACACACATGATTGAATAGATTGCAATAAGAAGATGAATAAAATAAACAAAGGGGTTCGAAATCTTCTCTCTAAACGAACAGAGTTCAGACTTGTCTCCCCAAGCTCTCAAAATCGAAAAAGCCAAAAAAGTAAGAAGGTGTCTTGCTCGAAAATCTAAGGTAAGGTTCAAAAGAGACTAAAAACCCTATTTATATCTATAAAACACGTATTGGGCTTCTTTAGAAACTTCTGGGTCCAACTCCTTCTTTAAACAGGAAACAAAATCGCGTTTTCCTTATTTCCTTGACAAGTGTCGAGCGTCACTCTCCATGGTGTCAAGCGACACTAAAGCACATAATTCATCCTTCACGAATTTGATCCTGATTAAGCTCCAAAGTGCTCCAAAATCTCCAGTTAAGCTCCAAACGTACCTAAGACCTGTAATGACTCCAAAAGACTCGAAAAACACTAAAAAGACTCTATAAACAAGACCTATACCATGGTTAAAAGTCATTAAAACCATGATCTATCACCAACATATTGCCATTGAATATTTACATCAAATTTACGTCGAAATAAAATTTACATTATATTTACATCGATATTACGTCAAATACAAGATGGAGGCCAATTCGTCGTATAGTTGACGTAAATTTTACGACAATGTTACGACGAAAGAAAATTCGTTCTTTAATCGTTGTAATGTCGTCGCAAGTTTACGACGATTTTACGAGAGTAGGATTTTACGTCCAAATTACGACGAAATATTTTGACGTCATACATTACGACGTAAATTTACGACGACCATAACTCGATGTAAAGAATTCGTTGGAAATGCCCCTCTTTCTTGTAGTGATGGTCCAAAGTATGGATGGAAGTGTGTGTGGCAAGTAGAAGAAGTAGTATAAATATGTTGTAAAGAGAAGGAGAAAAACATCGATTGATCCAAATATCAAAATATAGTTTTTATATGTTTATCTCTCTAAGTTTCTTCTTGTTATCACTTAGAAAAACCAAACAACAACTATGAGTGCAAGGGGGTTCACACTCTTAGCCATCTTAATTGAAACAGAGCAAGAGTTAGAGTGAAAGAGAGGGAGAGAAAAGAGAAACAAAAGAGTGAAGAGAGAAAGAGAACAAACCTGAGTGAAAAGAGGAGAGATTGAAGAATGTCAACATTGTATCAGAGCCAGGTTATCCTTGGAGCCTGTTCAAAGAAGAATGGGTCCATGAGAGAGTACTTCTCAGCCGTGAGAATGTTGAAGAGAAAGAGATGAAGAACCTTCCAACATTGAAGACCTTGCAGCCACTGAAATGGAGAGAAGATGGAAGTGGTTGCTGAGGGAGATAGAAGAAGAAGCCTGCACAAGAAAGAGAAGTGTAAGGCAAAAGAACAAAAAAAATGGAGCAAGACTGAAACTGTCAAACAAGAAGAGAAGGTGATGAGGATGGAACAGATCCTTCCTACGGTAGTAAATGTTGGGGTTAAATTTGATCCTTCCTACGTGGACGAATTACGTGTTAGCACGTGGCGTCCATGGTTTTTTTTGTAGACACGGCCTCCCTGGGCCAAATTAGGACCTGTATTGAGCCTCCGGCCCAATACGCCCTAACCATATAGCACCGGACCTTGAATCCAGTTGGATTCGGGAGATCCGACACGATAGGCCATCTGTTCCTGGTTTTCTCGTGTCTGACAGCACATGCCACATTGTCAGAAACAAGGAAGTCAGAAACTGATTGGTCAGGAGGAGGAGAGGTCACATTCTCTATGTCCTAGACCTAAGCTCGGTGATCCGGAAGAGTCGAGATATAAGGAAGAGTGGTCCGCACAGGTACCCGGAGAGCAGAGTCTTCCATCCCTAGCAGCCCAGTCCTAGTATCGAGGGATCCGGGCCATGTATAAGTGACTCGTTTGAGCGGCAATATTATTCAAATTTCCCTCCAATTGACAATTGGAATATGCCTTAATCTGATTTGACTGCCCATACCCTTACAAGCCCACGAGAATGACATTTAATGCATTTTTCTTACGTGTGTCAGGTGAAAGTGACTTTTTGCAGGAGCCAGGGGAAAAGCAGAGGTTCAGCGAAGAACTATATCGCGTCTGAGACACCGACCCAACTCGTACACTGAAAAAAAGGGACGCGCCAACAGACGGTCTTGTTGCAGCGCATAACACGCCAAAGAAAGTTGGTGAGACCATCAGAGGCGTGACGCCATCATAAGATTCGAATTCAGTCGAGTCGGGTCATGGGCTGATCCACCCAATTCAAAATCCATGGGTTAATCCGGTATACTAACCCGGGTCAGGTAATCCCCTATAAATATTTTACTTTTTCTTACGAGGAGGGGGTTCACACTCTTAAGCATCTTAAGTCTCACGATATCTCTCTAGATACATCCTAAACTAAATCTAGTCTAGTATTCACAAGAGATGCAATGCATGATGAATTGTTAAAAGAACATCTAAAGCATATCGACTCAAACCAGAGACTCTTAAACTCATAGGTGGCGATTTAGACTTCTCCGGTTTACTCTATTTGATGCATGGTGGCATTTCCAACTAGCTTCCGGACGATTTATCTTCATCTGTTTCTGGGAATCTGCATTGAACTAGAATAGACACATGTATGATTAACCAACTGTCGTCACCTTAATCAACTAATCTCTTAGATCTAGCAATTAACTCTCGCTCTCATGCTAAACTTAAGATCATGCAATGAACACTGAATTCGTCTGCTCACATCTTCTCTATAGGTTGCTTTCGACTCCTATAGCGACTATGTTCTTCTGAAGCTAGGTATGGATGATCTGATACCGCACTCTTGTGGCTCTGATCGATCCTAGGCTCAGAGAATAGGTCATGAATCTACTCTCATGCTTTACAAATGACTTAGAAGATATGAGATCCAGAATATGGCTAAGAACAATAGAAAGGGAAAACAACGTATTTTCCCCCACCAAGTTTCACATAGTAACCAATCCACACGATCTTTGAGGTTCGTCTTAAATCCCCACAGCGGTAAAGTTAAATACTAATTTTCCCCCAATTTCAAAGTTAAAAACATAAATAACCCTTACCGCTGATTTAACTGGTTTGTGAGCTTAACCGAAGGTAAAACCATGTTGCTCGATTGTAGACGGTATCTTACGACCCGGCCAACCTGACCCAAAATCTAAACCCGCTCCTATAACCCGATCCATCTCCTAACGGTAATATTATGAAATCCCCAAATCGATTTAAAATTCCCAAATCGATAGAAGAACCCTAAAACCCGAAAATTCCCAAATCAAAATTCCGAAAACCAGACTCCTTTTACGATGAACAACAACGACTCTGGGGCTTCTAGTGTGAACTCAGGTGGTCGGGAAAGAAGAAGAAATGCAGGTGTGCCGAAAAGGTGCTGGTGTGGAGAAGCAATTATTGCGAAAATGTCAAAGTCCGAGTCCAATCCATACCGGAGATATTATCGATGTGCATTTGCCATTGAGAAAAAGGTACACAGCTATATCTCGTATTCTCATTTTAAAGATTCCGAGTTCTCATTGTTTAGTGATTGTGTTGTTTTTTGTAGCTTTCTAATGATAACCACATTTTCAAGTGGGTCGATGATGCTTTGTTGAGTGAGATTGAGGCATTGACAGTAAGAACTGAAAAACTGGAGCAAGTCGTGGCAGATATTACGAATGGGACAATGGAGGTGGCTAAGAAAATATTTGAGGAGCTGCAAATGAAGCTAGAGAATGAAAGCGATCAAAGAGTGGAAGAAGCTGTAGCTGAAGCTAAAAATGAGATGAAGAAAATGATGTTAGTTATGTGTTTAGGATGCATTGTTGTTGTTGGGTGTACCAAGCTTGTAGGTTGATGCTTTAAGAAGAACAAGCTTGATGTATGATGTGTGTTTTGTGTTTGTCATTGGTTTTTGAGACCTTGTTATGGCTAGAGATTGTGTTTGTGCTAGAGATTGTGTTTGTCATTGGTATTTGGTAGCTTGTTTGTGTTTTTTGAGACGTTGTTTTGTTTTGTGTTTCATTACAAGCTTCTGATCATAACATAAAAGAGGTTCATAACTAAAACAACTGACCATAAGTAGAGTAAAATACAACTGATCTTAACATAAAACAGGTTCAAAAAAAGCTGATAGAGTACCAAAAAGACAGCCATAACATAGATGCCGCGACACAAACTGATAAAGCACCAAAAAGAAAAGCCGAGCACAAGCTGTTAGAGTACCAAAAAGACAGCCATAAACATGAAAAAAACATCTAAAAACATGAAAATTCTTCACTTTCAATCCACTTGACTGAGAATTCCTTGTGAGGGTTCAACTTGAGATGATGCTTCAAGTAAAGGGACCTGCGAAAAAAGAAGAACAAATAACATTAGCATAGACATAAAAAAAGTCATAAGAAAGAAAGAAGAACCACATAGTTTACCTCAGATGTTGAACCTTTCTTCTTCTTATTATGCCAGCGAGAGTTGTGACCAGCAGCTCCACAAACACCACAATGCATGACCCTCCTCTTCTCCAATGGGTCTGCCCTCTTCGTAGGAGACTCATTCCTGTCTCTCTTCCTCTTTTTATCTTGCTTTGTAACCTTTTCCTTTGCCTTATCCTTATCCTTCTTCCGACCAGGCATATTTGGAATCTCAGGATGAACAATCGATGGCTCTTCTCCTCTAGGCAAAAATTTTGCACCTTTAACTGGAACAATGCCATCTATATACAGCCTTCTCCACTTATCTGTCCTAAACCAATGGCACACATAGTGTTGAGCTTCAAGACCTTTTTTCAAGATAACACCATATGCATGCTCACACGGGATTCCAGTTATTTCCCATCTCCTGCAGCTACAAGTCCTATTCGCCAAGCCAACCCTGTGTGTGCATCCATCGAGTGAACAAGCATACTGCATGTTAGTTGAAGGCTGAACAAAGCATCCTGAAGCTGCATCATGATACTCTGCAAGGTATTTCTTCACATATGGTGTACAGAAACCATCATAGTTAGAAGCTTTATAATCTCTCTTGGGTATTCAAACCATTGCCAACCTTGCAATGGTCTCTAGCATAGGCACTAAAGCCTTATCCCTGGCTTTTCCTGAATACAACAAGGGCAAAAAATAATGAAAACAACAATGAAAATACAGTTAAAACAAATGAACTATCACCAATTCATAAGAAACCAACTAAAACAATTCATACCTATTGAGTTGTTGAATGACTCCACTGAATTATTCTCCACATCCTCACAGTAAGACCCGAGCTTGTAAAAAGCCCTGCACCATGTCTCCGGTTTTGTTTTCAGCAAATCTCGGTACAATGCCTCATCATACAACTCAATCTTGTTCAAGTTTTCTCTAAACTCTGGCTCATTGTAGCTCCAAGCTAGATGCCATATCAACCCCTTCAACTCTGGATTCTTTCCATGGTGAGACTTCAGGTTCATGTATATGTGTCTTGTACACATTCTATGCTCAATCTTTGGCAGGATCCTCTGAACGGCATTGATCAATCCCTAAAAAAAAAACAATTTAGTAGCTATAGAAGTAAACTAAACAATAAATAAACCACCCATTTTACCTTTTGTCGATCAGAGATTAGTACAAAGCCATCTCCATCATGTAGTCCTAAATAATCTCTGATCTTAGAAAAGAACCAACCCCAATTATCTGCATTCTCTTTCTGCACTACAGCGGTACAGCCCATGCCACAGGGTAGATTCGGTTGTCTGCATCTCTACCACTTGCCACAAACAACTCACCTTTGTGAACTGTTTTTAAGAAACAGCCATCCACTCCTAACATTGGCCTACAGTTCTCTTTCCAAGCCTTTTGCAGGTTATCAAAGCATACATAAAACCTTTGAAACACATGCTTACCTTGATCATTCACAATGCAATCAACCTCCACTGAAGAATCCGGATTAGAACCTTCAATCTCTTTTGCATAATCTCTTAGGCGTGCAAACTGTTCCTCATATTCTCTTTCAATCCATGCCAAAGCTTTGTTCCTTGCGTGCTGGCATTGAGGCCGAGAAACAGAGATCTTCCACTTCTCCATAACCAACTCTTCAATCTTCATTGGCATGAAGTACTCCGGTTCTTCACGAATCTTGTCCACAAAGAGGCGAGCAATCACAGGCACCTTGATCATCGTGCAAATGCCATTCGGAACACAACAATGTTTAGATTCAAACACCGTTACCTGCCACATTGAGGATCCACCTTTCCGAGAGCAATAAATTCGCCATGTACAGTTCTCTCCTAAACACTTAAACATAAGCTTTGTCTTGTCATATCTTTTTTGGCTGATATTGTAACCAGTCTTCAAGGCGTAGTCCAAGACACCTTCCTTGAATGCTATTCCACTGATGAAGACTTGTCCGAGGTACAAACTCCCATTGCCTCGTCGGATATGGTCGCGCCTCCGAGCTTTACGTTGAGCTGCTTCTTCTTCATCCAAATCCGGATACACATTGTGCCTGACAGATGGCTCATCCTCAAAAGCAGCTACAGCTTCCTCGATCATCCAATCATTTCTCTCCCTTTGATCTACACTGTCGGAATCATACCCAGCTTGCCACTCCACTATCGACATTTGCAGAAGAAATCGACAGCTACGGTTTGAAGTGAAGTGGATTCGGAGTTAGGGTTTGCTCGGGATTGAAGTTTGATTCAGGATTTGGTTCCAATTTGGGGTTTTCGATTGAGTTTCTGGGTTTTTTTTTGTTTTAGGGTTCTTCACAATTTGGGGGAAATGAAAGCATGGGAGAGGTTTCGCGGGTTTGTGTCGGGGTTTTGGACGGGTTTTTTTTTTCGCGGGTCAAATTTTTAATTGGGTCTAGATTACGGGTCAATCTATGGTTTAGACGTTAAATCGGGTTTAAATTAGATAAATCTCGGTATTCATTGGGTAAGACAGTTATCGGTAAACAGTAAACCGTTCTAAATCATGGTCTATGTGTTTATTCGTATTTAACTTTATTCGGAGGGTTATTTATGTTTTGAACTTTGTAATTGGGGGGAAATTGGTATTTAACTTTACCGCTGTGGGGATTTAAGACGAACCTCAAAGACCGTGTGGATTGGTTACTATGTGAAACTTGGTGGGGGGGAAATACGTTGTTTTCCCCAATAGAAATCCTAATCGATATATATGCTTGTCGATATCTTCAAACAACTTGACTCTCTGGGACTAATCTACATGATGCAATGAATGATAAAAGACATAGAAGAATGCAAAAGAATGAAACAGAAAAGTTAATAAGATAAAAAGGAGGAAGAACAATGGATCTGGGAAAGAATCCCCATCTCCATCGCCTAACCCTAGAAAAACAAGGTTTGGTGGCTCAAAATCTCATTACAGGAGCACACACCCGTTTAGGACTGCTAAACAATGTATTTATAGGTCATAAGGTCTTCCAGGTCTCATTTAGGGCTTCTCTGAAGAAATGGCGAAGTGGGCTTTGATGTTGGGCCTTGTGGCTTGTCCTAAGGTCCACCGGGGGTGAGAGTCTTCCAGGGCAGGTAAAACATGTGTTTCCCGCGGGTGAGAGTCTTCCGGGACTGGTGAACTGGGTCAACTTGTTCTCCATGTATCTTTTGATTGCACCGTTGGATCTTTGTGCTGTAAAATGCTATGGAAATCTGGTTGTCTCCTCTTGATTGTCTCCAAATTTGAGCTGGATCGGACGGTGAGAAAGTCTTCATTTGAGGCTGAACTTCTGACGGTCTGACTCTGAGCTAAAAATGTGGATTTCTTCCATTTTGCCATCATATTCCATAAGTTTCCTGAAAAGAGCCTTGAAACTACAAATACATGAAAATCATAATAAAAGTTCCTAAACTAAGTAAAACCTTTGAAAAAGCATTTGAAATCAATGGTGAAAAGTGGTCAAAATCAGGTGTTATCAACTCCCCCAGACTTAAGACTTTGTTTGTCCTCAAACAAATCAAGATCTAATCTGGAAAAATATCATTCAACAAAAATGAGAGGGAACTCAAAAATATCAGCAACCATACTTCTAGACCTTAATTATGGACAATGCATCAATCATATCAAGTCTAAAAAATTCTCACCAAAATACAAACATAACTAGTCCGTTAATCCGTCATGCGAAAATCCACACACCTAGAACTAACTTCCAGTCAACTAGCTCTTAACATTCATTAGTGGTTTCAGTGGTTCTCATCAAAAGGACATTAAACAAGTCATTCAAGGCTAGGCATCAAAAAGGCTTTTTAATGGTAAGGCTGCTGTGTTTAAGGTTACCTTTTTCTGGAGAGACATGATATTATGCAAAACAGCAAGAGAGGATGGAACTGATAAATGCCCCCATAGTTTCAGTCACACTCTTCTTGCTTCAAGATTTCTGATCTCCTTTCTTCAGGTTCTCCTTATATTTCCCCCAGACTTAGATTTTTGTCCAGGTTGTGAATCCATAACTCCTTAAGTGAATACATATTGCCTTGGCTCAAGTGATTTCGGCTTCTAAGACTCTTTAAGCTTTTAATTTCCTTTCCTTTCTTTCTTTTTCTCTTTTTTTATTTTATTTTTTGAAACGGAAACCTGCCTTTTGACTTGGAGTCTTACGGAGCACGAAAATTACCTTTAAGAATGAGCTTTTCTGAGGCATCAAAAGATTTCTGGCACAGTCCCTTCTGGTCTCTTTCAATCTTTCCCTTGAGTGACTGAAAACTATGTTGTTCCTCCCTCTCCGGCGTTTTTACACATATCTGTCGATATAAACTTAAGAGAGAATGCATGAGGTTTGAACATGAAGGTTTGGGTTAAGGGTGTGGTACCAGCTAAAGATGAACTGACCATCTAAGACAACAAAGACTGGTATCAATAAGGAAAAGATGTCCTTGATGTGTGTCATGATGCCTTCTTTAAAACCATTGATGAGAAAATTAAATGTCAAGATTAAGTCCAAGTAAAATGAGCTAGTATATCCTGGCAGAAAAGATCTTCATGAATAGAAGTCCTCTGGTGGGATTTAGTAGTGTAAGTAGTCTAGCTACCGTCTAGTCTAGTACTAAACCTTGAAAGAGCTTTTATGAGTGATTGGTGTAGAAGCAAACAGGTTGGTTATCATCATTTGATTTTGTCATTATTCCCTCAAAATGTTTTTGACCTTTGAAAACATTTTTTTTGAAACTCAAAAGACTTTGAAAAGGTTTTAATAAAAATCAAAAAATCTGAAAAAGTTTAAAGAAAATGCAGAATGCAATGGCTCATGCAAGAAAAGATGGTTAGAGAGGGATGAAATCCTCCACCAGACTTAAATCACACTGCCCCCAGTGTGAAATAAATCAGGCAAGGATGAGAAATAGAGTATGTGAAAGATGTAAAAAGTTTAAGGAAAAGAAAACTTACTTTGTGGTGGTGATGGATTGTGATGTTGTTGTGGTGGTGTTGCTTGATAAAACTTGGATTCTAGGGATCCGAAACTAATTTTAACAAGGTGGTGAAGGTGGCTAAGGATGGATGGAAGTGGCCAAGGATGGATGGAGGTGGCCAAGGATGGATGGAGGTGGTCAAGGTGGACGGATGTGCTGGCCACGGATGAAAACATCCCGGTCGCGGTAGGATGTGCGGCGGCCACGGTTGAAGACGTCGCGACCGTGGTAAAACTCAGGCTGGCCACGGCCGAACCTCCTTTGGCCGCGGTCGGCTCCTTTTCTTCTCTTTATTTTTTTTTATTTTTTTTATAGCATACTAAAACCTGTCTTAAATAAGAAAAACAAAACTTTTCATAGAAAAAGAAAGCGTAAACAAAAACAAATAAGTACCTAAAATGGGCTGCCTCCCATAAAGCGTTTTGGTTTATAGTCCTTAGCTAGTCTTTGCAAAGAAATAGACTTAGTTCAAATAGGATCTTGTCCTAAGACAAGTCCTTTTCGAAATCTTCCTATTCTGTCTTGCAGGTTCTTCATCACTCCAGAGTTCTTCTGGTTCAAATGCCTAGGCTATTTGCTCTCCTCTTTTGCTCTTAAGTGGTGTAGCTTCATAGAAGATGTCCTTGTCGATATTGGCAAAGGGAACTTGCCTGTTGGGCCAATCCATGATGGCTCCAGAAGTTGCTAAGAAAGGCCATCCAAGAATAACTGGATAAGAGTCATCTTTGGTCTTCACTATGTATAAATCGTCAGGTGCAATGCAATCTCCAATCCTTAGAGGAATGTCTCGGGCTATCCCTCTTGGTGTTGCACTTGAATCATCTGCTAAGTTAATCTTTGTCCTGGTACTTGAGATGTGCTTAATACCAAGTCTCAAAGCAGTTGCTGTGGACATCATGTTAATGCAAGCTCCATAATCACAAAGAATATTGAGGAATCTTTCACCTCTAATGTCACAAGAGATAAGAAATTGACATTTGTCTTGAACTTTGTGCAGAGTTCGAACTGGTCTACTTTCTTGGGCGTGTGTGAACAAGTCTTTCATCTCTTGGATTGATTCTTTGCTGTCACAAAAGAAGTGGCCGATCATGTAGTCTCTACATGCTTTGGCAAACGAAATTCCTTATGGCAGGGTCTGAACCACTTGGTTGAACTCTTCAAGTGCTTCTTTGCTGATCTTGTTTGTGTAATCACTGGCTTCTAGGGGATCTTTGAGATGGATCCTGAAAACAGCTGCATCAGGTGATGATCTAGGAAAAGATAGATACCTGGCTCTTCTGAAATACGTAGAGATGTTCTCCTTAGTCTCTCTGCTGTATCTAAAGAAGACTTGAAGGCAGCCTTGCTTTCAGACATCATCGAATGCGAGATAGAGAGGAATGGACTTCACAAATTTGTTGAATTCGATCAGTCTCTCTCTTGATATGCTCTTGGTTATTGGTTCTATGTTGTCATCAGATGAATCATCCCTAGGGTTTGAATCTTTTACAAACAAACCATACTCTAGCTCTTGAAGCTCATTGTCACAAGTGTAAACCATGTTGCAAGTTGCATAAGTGTTGGATTCTTCCTTTTCCTTTGATGCTTGTGCATTGATTGAGAAGACAAATTGATCAAACAACCTAGGTCTGGTCACATGAGGTCGATTTTCTGATGAACAGGCTTCAGAAAGAGGTTGAAAGTTCTCCCAGTCTGAGAAGTAGTGCTCCACCGCGGGTGAGGAGCTCGGAGCCACGGTGGGAGTGGCTCTGGCCGCGGGTGAGGAGCTCGCAGCCGCGGTCAGCTCCCTCCGGCTCTCCATGCTTGCTTCTTCAATCTCTTCTTCTCTATTGTTGTTCTCTTGCTTCCAGTGGCTGTCAGACATGTCTTGGGTATCCAAATCATTGATTCCAGAGTTCAGATCATACTCCTTATGATCTTTAGAAAGTTTTTCAACTTTCTCTTCTACTTCATCCAAAGCATAGACAACTTTGTCTAGAGTAGCATCAAGCTCTTCTGTCTTGTTTTCAACCTTTACTACGCTTTGCCACAGCTCCAATGTGTAGTCGTAGGTCTGTTTTTTGCTCTCATTCAGCTACTTATCCAAGTCATCGATCTTAAAGGTTAGGGTTTGCAGCTCCCTTTTGTTTTGCCAGATGCTGAACTTGTTTTTGTCTTGTTCTTCCCTGACAGACTCTATTCTCTGGTCTAACACGT